ATGAAAAAGAGAACTATATCGCTACTATAACTAGTTATATATATCTAAAATATGGGTAAAAATGTTAAAAGATTTACATTTATATCTTTATTTTTTTTGTCTAAGAGAGTTATATTACACTACGTAAATTACAATCAAGCGTCAAGATCTAAGTTGAACGAATCTAAATCGTCTTGAATCCAAAAAAATATTTATATCTTTCCAAAACAATTTAGTTGACCTTCTGATAAATCGTTATATAGTTTTAAATGCCACTGCTTGCGTCGATTAAGTCACAAATGTTTTTTCGCATATTTTAATGTCAATAAAGATGATCAGACTACTCTAATTGTTTCTGTGTTATTAATACATTAAGTCGACTAAAATATCAGGCATATTAAAGTTATATAAGATTCATGTCTTATCCATCGATATTAAACATAATTATCAGATAATGTAAATCATGAGAGGACTAACGGTTTATATTTCCTACTGTATAAATTATTGGTATACGGTTATCTCATTACATTGTGACTATGACATTTCAAACAAGTTACTTAGTATCGTTACAAATAAACTACTTTTCAAAAAAAGTAATTTGAATTGTTTCCAGAACATTTTGATTTGTGACAATGTTTCACAAGATAACTATTTTTCTAAAATAAAAGGCTTTAAGAATTTTATAGTTAAATTTATGATTCTATTGAAGTTAGACCATCATGGAAAACCTCGAAGTACTGGATGGTTGTTTCGTCCTAGTTTGGGACTCCTAAGCAGTGTGCATCCATGATCCTGCCTCGTGAGATTCCAACCGAGGACTTATCAGTCTCGCGCATGAACACCTAACCTCTAGACCACTGGGTTGGAGAGTATTCAACGGTGTTAATGTCTAATTTCAACCAATTCACGAAATTGTATCACTGCCATCCACCATTGTCTTCAGTGATTTACTATCTCACAACAGACCCAGTTGAACTCCACTGGTCAAATCCAGGAAAACATAGCTACAATATATTATTCGATAGAACAGTTAATACTTAATAATTTGGAAGACATTATTAAATATCAATCCAGACATAAAAGACATTTTAGACAAAAAGGATTATTATAATAACGGGGGCAAATAAATCATAAATTTAACCATAAAACCTGTTTTCACTTATATAAATTCATTCAGTTTCATTGAAAGATAATATAATGAAATTGATTAGTTAAACAAATAAATGTATAAAACCTTTAAAATACTTACAAAATATAGCCCTTATATATTAGATAAAGAAATTTATCATATCAATCCATAAATGAATGGATGACTATAGAAATCACAAAAAATTTGATTACGAAAAGTATCACAGTTGAGTTTGTATATATATTGATTGTGTTTATCAAGAGTCATTTGATAACCTTTTATGTTTTCTAACATTAACTAGTCATATTATCAATGGAAAACCTGAGAGCACTGGACGACTATTTCATCCTAGTATGGGACTCCATATGATTTCAACTATTAAAATGACTAAAAATCTTCACAAAATCTCTTCTGATTATTAACTAGTTAGTTGTTAGTGATTTACATTAGACTGATTACAACAAGTAAATTTACAACAACAAAAAAATACAGTCAGAATAATAAATACAATTTATCATTCAATAAGTAACTGAAATGAATTTTCTGTCATAAATTTAATGGCCTACTTGGGTGATACATGGGTACATATATATATATATATATATATATATATATATATATATATATATATATATATATATATATATATATATATATATATATATATATATATATGACATTTCCTGTCACAAGAAACAACCATTGAAAGAATTCATTTTTCATAGATAAAAATGTCTATCGTTTTATTATAAAACATAAAGGTTCTTTGATTTACACATACAGTAACGTTTTTTTGAAACAATAAAAAAAAGACAACCAAATAATATAACTTATTGATTTAGTTTTGTTCCTTTTTTTATATGGTTCACATGAAGTAACAGTAGATATAACCATTAGAATAGTGAGTTGGAAACAAAACATTAATAATAGAGAAATATTATTATTTGGGTGGTATAACAATAATAATAATAATAACTGTTAAAATATTATATTTTGACATTTAACAGTTTGAGAAAATGAATACACGTAGAAATAGTGACAGTAGTAGTAGTTTAGAATGGAATAAATTTCATAATTCATATCTAATTTTAACTTAAAATAAGTCGTATATCCTGATAATGATGTAATAGTTATTGATTTACATTTATATTTACATCCAACTTAGGTTTCTGAACATTATTTAAGTAATAAAATTAAGTTTCTCTTTTTTTCTTTCTGAAACTTAAAACAACTGTCAACTGCCAACACTAAAGTCGAAATTTTCAATACAACTATCAAGACAGTTCTAATGTATAGGAAAGAAACTTGGAGAACTACGAAAGCCATCATACAGAAAACGCACGTGTTTATTAACAGTTGTCTACTCAAAATACTTCGGATCCGTTGGCCCAGACACTATCACCAAGACCTACTTTGGGAGGGAACAAACCAGCTTCTAATGGAGGAAGAAATCAGGAAGAAGTGCTGGACCCAGGTTTCAGGAAGAAGAACTGTAAGTGGATAGGACACATATTGAGGAAAGCACCCAACTGAGTCACAAGACAAGCCCTCATATGGAATCCTCAAGGCCAAATGGAGTCAGACATGAGGAAAATGAACAACAATTGGATGGAACTAGAAAGGAAGTCTCATGACAGTGTGGGTTGGAGAATGCTGATCGGTGGCCTATAGTCCATTATGAGTAACAGGCGTATGTAGTAAGTAAGTAGCATTAAATATATTTATCCTTTGTAACATGACAAAATGTCGGTAAAGATAGCAGATTTTCATTTCAATTTCTAAAATGTTTAAATATATTGCCTGCACATAGTTCGTTATTCAGTCTGTAAGCGAAAGATTCTAATGTTAGCAATGAAATATTCATTTGTGAATGTGTTATGACAATTCAATATATCAATAATGACATCCGTATTTACATAATGCACTGACAAATTAAACAACCATTAGACAGATATTTGGCTGTATTATGAGACTTATTGATAGAACTATAGAACTATAACTTTTCAAGTAGAAAACAACCATGTCGAGATTAGGATAGTTGTCCAGGATGCTAATTGATGACGACTTCGAAACTTTGTGACTTAGCTGAAACTAAAAATGTTTATTACCAACTTAGTTTTTTGAAGGTTTCTACTAAGAACAACGTACTATACTTAGATTACGTTATGTCATTTTTTAGTTTAAAGACAATATAAGACGCTATCATTAAGTTATGAGGGAGAAAGCTGATGGGACTTATAAAAATCTATTTATAGAGAGATTTCAATGTGAAGAATTGTAAAAAGCATTTAATGTGACATATATAAATTTGGAGGTTAGTGTCAACCACCGGTGGTCTGGTTTCGTATTATTTGGGATTAATCAGTAAGATTTGACTAGTGCTTCCTATAGAGCTCAACCTGTTTACTTCATGATTACAAGCACACCATTCTGATGAGTGCCGAATAAAATAAAATCTGGCTCGTGATTTTACACTCGGATACTTTGAATCACCTAACGCTATGTCGAGTCAATCAGACGAGTTGCCTTATTGCAACCTAATCAGCAGACCTCGATCGTCTCTATAAAATGGTAAACAAGTATGGAATTAGTTAATACTCAATGATCAATCAGTTGTATATATGTGTTTTTATAAAAAAATTAAGATAACATTTCAAAAGTAATATACCACGATTAAAAAAATACAGTATTTCAACTTGCTTTCCTTGTTTTTTTCTTTGTGAAAAAAAAAACAGTTTGTTATATTTTATGTACTGTTACTAGCGATGCTTAATCTACATTGTTTCGTACAGTTGGATAATATCATTAACCAATACAAAAAAGCACTTCCAAAATACCTGAATTTATAATAAACCTGAGCTTGGTAACCGGGTCGTAATATAAATGTACAATATCTATTATTATTTGTAAAACAAAATAATTTAATTTTACATAATAAATATTCATATATTAATATTATTTAATCAGCATTATTGATGAACATGGTGGATTTGATGCAGATGTAAAGGCGCAGATCGGCAAAGCAAGAACAGCATATCTACAACTGAAGGACATCTGGGACTCAAAACAACTCTCTGTCAACTGTCAACACCAAAGTCAGAATTTTCAATACAAATGTCAAGACAATTTTACTGTATGGGGCGGAAACCTGGAGAACTACAAAAGTGATCATCCAGAAGATACAAGTGTGTATTAACAGTTGTCTACACAAAATACTTCGGATCCATTGGTCGGACACTATTAGCAACAACCAACTGTGAGAAAGAACAAACCAGATCCCAGCGGAGGAAGAAATCAGGAAGAAGATCTGGAAGTGGATAGGACACACATTGAGAAAAGCACCTAACTGCGTCACAAGACAAGCCCTCATATGGAATCCTCAAGGCCAAAGGAAAAGAGGAAGACCAATGGACACATTACGCCGAGAAATGGAGATAGGCATGAAAAAAATGAACAAGAATTGGATGGAATTAGAAAAGAAGGCCCAGGACAGAGTAGGTTGCAGAATGCTGGTCAGCGGCCTATGCTCCATTATGAGTAACAGGCGTAAGTAAGTAAGGAATATTATCTAATATTAAATATTTCAACAGTAGTAAAAAAAAGAATAATCTTCATCAAATGGTTTGAAAACAAATCGATTATAGAAATTTTGTATTTAATCACTAAGGCAATTGTAAGTACCATAGGTTATATAAATTCATATATACTGGAATACATTCACCTTTATAATTATAATGATATTTAAGCATAAATCATGCTACTAAAATGTTAACCTGTACATTGAACTATCTATAATATTTCAATAATGTATCCATTTATTTTGACCTATTTCATATGATTTAATTAAAAAGTGATTATTATTATCATTATTACTACTTATTAAATAACTTACATTTATTATTATTATTATTATTATTGAAAGAATTCTCTTTTATTTATTTCATTCCTTGGGAAAACGTTTCTTTTGTTTCTTTGTTTGCTTGCTTTTATTTATCTACCTGACAAGTTAAACTTTTGAATTTACCTAAAAATTAAAAAAAAAATTGAAAAAAAAGAAAGAAAAATAATAATTGATGAAAATAACATAGAGAAAGATTTAGATGAATGAACTTATCGTTGAATGTAAGCGAATTAGGTCAAAGTTGTCTTTCAAAAAATATAAAAAAAAAACAAAAAAAGAAAGGTTCCTATTTCATTTATTTATCATCGTTTTATTGAATATACCTAAATAAAAAGAAAAAAAACTTGTGAGAGAAAAAACAAAAATGTATGATTATTATTCTTTTTTTTCTCTTTTTTTTAACAAAAAAAACATACTTAGTTACAAAGGAACTGAATTGATTTATAAAGTGCAAATTAATACATGATTTACAGTAATCATTTCGTTCACTAATTTTTTTTTCTATAAAAAGATTGTTTTCTTCGTTTTCTTATTTTCTTTTTTGCATTAACACTAAATTGTTCATACATAATTTCAATGATGGTTTTATCATTAACCATAATTTTCATCTCTTTTTTTTGGCACACACAGTACAGTTATGAATGTTAAAAAGTTATATTGAGATGGTGGGGAAGATTTGTAGCTAAGGTGGATGATTTTGATGGAGTTTTGTTCTCTGAACTGGATGATTTGGTCTTCGAGTTTTCATCGTTCTTCTGAACAACGTCATCGGCACAAATTTCAAGTAGAAGTGAAGTGTTTGAAATTCTCCACATGTGGTTCACAGCTTTTCCTGTACATCTTAAAGTTGATGGGAGATACAACCAAAACAAAGAAGTAAACAATGACAGTTTTAAGGTCAACAAGAACCAATCAACATCGAGGTGTACAGAACATGCTGTGAACCACATGTGGAGAAATTCGAACACCTTATTTCTACTTGAAGTTTGTGCTGATGATGTTGTTCAGAAGAACGATGAAAGCTCCACGACAAAACCATTCAGCTCAGAGACCAAAACTCCATGAAAAATAAAAAGCTATATATTTCTTTAATGATTTTGATTATTACCCTGAAGAAGTTCAGACAAGTTAGCTGGATGAAACTTTGGAGTTATTATTTAAATTTAAATAGCTTAGATTATTTCAAATATAATTTTTTACATATAAGAAAACTGTTTTAAATAAATTAATATATTTGTAATATCTCAATGAGTAGAAAAATTAGATTTTCTAACGTTTCATGACTTCTTGTAAACCACTTCTTACAGAGAATAACTAATCAAATCAAGACTTTCAATAATTGAAATCATGAATCAATTGAAGCTAGACTATCATTGAAAACCTGGAAGCACTGAACGGCCGTTTTGTCAGCAGTGCGCATCCACGATCTTGCATCGCGAGATTCGTACCCAGGACCTATCATTCTCGCACATGAGCGCTTAACCAATAGACCACTGAGCTGGCCATCATCCGACGGTGTTGATGTCTAACTTCAACCAATCTACGAAATTGAGAGACACATCCACCATTGTCGTCAGTGTGTTACTATCCCACAACAGACTCAATCGAACTACACTAGTGATCTAGCTTCAATTGACTCACGATCTCAACTATTAAAATTACCAAAATCTCCACAAAACTCATTCTGAAAATTAAAAATTATCCAAGTTTAAATAATACTATGGAACACTAACAAAACAACAACTATCTACCCTAGCCACCTGCTCTGATATTATTCACAATTCACACTATAATCCTCTCTCACCATAAAGGTCACACAATTTTTATCCTTAACAGTGCACACATACGTACACACTCATTTACATACATTTTGCTTATGAATCACCTTGACCGAAATGGCATGACATTGATTTGCTCACACCTGCTTTTTGATTGATCACATAATATTCTTGTGTTGTTCCGTTGTTCCATTTAAACTTGGACTAATTTTGATTTGGTTATTTATTTTCTGAAGAAGTAGCTTGCACTAAGTCACGAAACGTCGGAAAATCTAATTTCCCTACTTATTGGGATATTACAGATCTATGAATTTATTCATAACAATTTACCCGATGTTCAATTTATTCAAAATTATCAAGTCAAACCTTCGTAATGGTACCTAATAAAACTGTTTTGCTTCTATACATGAAGTAATCAATAAAGGATAAACGTATTCACATATTGTACAAAGATGAACTTATTTGTAAAAACACCTTTCTATCTGTGTAAATATTATTAACTACATATAGAACTTAATGAAATTGATTGAATGTTGATTTATTCGTTACTATTATTATTATTTGTTATTCTTTGAATGATAAAATAAATAATTTTCACATAAATGAAGTGAAATAAAATTCTGATAGGTTTATTTTCAGCACAAGGGTTGTGAAGATGATTATGTTTTTGATTGAGATCATGAACCGACTGATATTAGACCACCGTTGGAAACCTGGAAGCACTGAACGGTCGTTTCGTTCTATTATGGGACTTCTCAGTAGTACGCATGATCCCGTGACCAGTGGAGCTAATCCGTATCTGGTAGAGACAAGTATCTCAATCAAAAAATTTATTTTCACCATACATGAAATACATATTGTAATTAGTTGAGATCACTTAAAGATATCGTTAGAATGAGTAACCTAGTACTGTACTATAGTTTATAAAAGATAATTATGTATTATTTTTTGTTTTTAATTATTTCGATTATTTCTTTATTGTTTGATTGAATTAGTTCCTTAGAGACTAAAGGTATTGATTATTGATGAGTACTAATATTAATGATAACTGAGTAGATCACTAAATTTAATTTCCCGTATATTCCAGTGAAACTAAATGATTTTTCTTATCTAGGGTGGTTGGAACAAGAGGGTTCAACTGATCATAGAGATTTTAAAATTGTCGATCTGTCGATAGATGCTCAATTTAAATGATTTTTACATGGATCATGTTTTTGTTGAATTTCCATTAGTCTATAAATTGAAATAATTATTAAATATCATTGAAGAATTTAGATTCTTTTTTGAATAGTAAATTATTTTCATCTTTATATTTGATTATTGTGCAACTTCACTTTGATATTTAGACTTAATCAATTAATGATGCGATCTTTTCTACAGTTGAGATCATGAGTCAATTGAAGCTAGACCACCATGATCTCAACTGTTGAACTTACTACAATCTCCACAAAACCCCTTCTGATAGCAATCTTTTCTATCCTTTCATAGACATATATTTTCCATATAACTATCAATATATGAATGTACAACAGTAGTACCCCGTTTCCAGTCTAGTTGACCTCTTATTTTTATGTATAAATGCTCTTAACAAGTATATGTGTGATCAGATTGTTCGAAATGTATTGCGTTAATATATCACATAGTTCTGATAATCTTCGTCTTCTAATATCATTATCAAAGTAAAAATGATTTCATCGAAAAGAAAATTTTCTTCACTAAATTCTCTATTTCTTATTCAATGACCCAATGGATTATTTTAATATGAGTTAATTCAAATGGTTGGGTTATATTTAAAAATAAAATACAATTTTATTCAGTTGCATTCAGTAGTACTTTAATAGCATTTAATTGGTATTATATTAAATTATAGTTCACTAACAGAATAAAAAGACTATTACTTTAATTGTATAATACATTATTTGATTGACATATTACATATATGTATAGTCCGTAACACAAACTAATTAAAATTAGCTAAAACTGTATGCTTTATAAAACCTAATGATAAATATAACTTGGAGAGTAGATGGTGGTTGGAGGTAGTCAACAGGAAACCCTGGACCTGGGTTTCGTGCTATTTGGCACTCGTCAGTAAGGTGTACCTGTAATTTGGAGGGAACTGGTGTTCCCTGGCGGGTTCGGTCTCGTGTCACCCAGCTTCATAGTCAGAGACGTTACCACTGAGCTATCCGGGCCGCGAATGACCACCTGTAGGACTGGGATGTGATCAATGTCATGCGTGTCAAGTCCTCATTTAGTGTTCATTGATTCATACTCTATAAGGTATTAAAAAATTTTTTTAACGGTTATCAAGATTGCACCAAAACAAAGTAATTTTTTTATTTTAAAACCATTGTGTATTATGCTAACGTAACAATAGTTTGTGACTTAAGGGGCTATATCATGGCAATTTGTACGGGATGCCCATTTTCCAATATGAGACTGATCAATTATTGTTCTAAACAACAATAAGAAGATACAAGTAAAACAACACACAAGATATGTATACATTTCAATCAATAATAATAAATTTTCTGGAGGATAAAAATGGGATTTGAGTGAATTTAATTTCTAAGAATAAAATTTTCTAGATTCAAAATTTGTAATTTGCGCCATTAATAATCTCGAATTAGTGCTTCATTTAATGTTTCTTTCCTTTTTTGAGAATGTTTTAGTTCATAAATAATTTATGATGACGATTTAAAAATAGAACTTTCTTAGTTTCACTATACATTTATAAATAAACATTAGTTTATGATTCATTTGAATAGTAAACGTTATTAAAACGTATTTCGTCTCAATGAAATTTACAATCAGTAGCTAAATATTATCTTCAATATGAACGTTAAGACAGTTCTACTGGATGAAGCTGAAACTTCAAGAACTACTACAACCATCATTAAAAAGGTACAAGTATTTGTAAATAGCTGTCTACTCAACATACACAATATCCGTTGGTCGAATACCATCAGTAGCAGCCTACTGTGGGAGAGGGAAAACCAACTTCCAGCTAAAGAGGAAAAGAAGTTGGAAGTGGATAGGACATATATTGAGGAAATCATCAAACTGCATCACGATGCAAGCCCTAACTTGGAATCGTGAAGGGAAACTGAAAAAAGGAAGACCAGAAAATACACGATGTCGGGAATCGGAAACAGACATGAAAAGGATGAATAAAAACTAGAAAGGATTATCCAAGACACAGCTGGATAGAGAATAATAATGATTGACCTATGCTCTGCTACGAGTGGTAACAGGCACAAGTCAAGCTAAATATTATACAATAACAAATGCTACATGTTTTAATTACGAGCAAATCAATGAAAGCATTATAAAACCTAAATATATCGTTTGTTTATATGAAAATGACTGCAAGCCATATTTCTAAACTATTCAATCATCTACCATTTAATGCTCATTTATATATAGAGAAATTTCTAATACCTGTTATAAATCAGTATCATTGTAAGTAGAATGTTATATTGCAACATTTAGTAAACTTTAAAATGACAAGCTTCATCTCATTTTAATGTCTAACCCTATCAGTATTACAATATTATTTTATTTCTATAGTTTGCAAGTTAAACATAATTCTAGGTTATCATATCTTGTTTCTGTTAGGATCCGAATTATACCCAGTAGATTAATTATTGCTTGATATGATGGAAAGAAAAGTCAATTTTTGATTGATTTACTCATTATGAGTTTAGTTCAAGATTACTTCCATTTTGATTCAATGTAATGATTATTCAATGTAGTATTCGTTTTCTTTTCTCGTAGGATATTTTCTTGTATTCACTTGGCATGAACTATGGCTCAGTAAGTGAGTTGTTATAACTGAGTATGTGATTTAATCTTAATTATTAATGAAAATAGGTGTACGAATCAATATATAAACCAGTGTGTTATAGACTATATTCGATTCTTCGTCGTCATAGCGTTTTGGGGCTAATAAACCTTCATTTATACCAGTCTTTGTGTTTTTACTTTCACATCATGGGAATTGCCATGGTCCCTCGTTCCGATTATAAGTGATCAACGTTTTTGTTTTACCGGCAAAACAGTTTCTCAACACATTTTAAAGATAATGATAAACAAATCATATAAATATCTCAAATGTGCATTTAGATTGTTAATTTTCAGTTGATATCATATCAAAGACATTGAATAAAGTTAATATGTATATGACTAACGACATATCAATCAATTTATATTTTATAATGTGAAAAACAATGATGTTTATTTGTTTTTCTGGTAATTTTAATTTAGATCCAAAAATGAAATTAATTTAATATATAAGAAATAATAGATTAATATGATAATAATTAGAGGAGGGTTTTGTGGATATGCTCATAAACACTGATTCATAGAATATGTAATCGTCTCATACAGAAATGCAAAACTTCATCTAATAATTAAACAGTGTAGCAGTAGCCTCAGCAGCAGTAGATGTCAACATACACAATGAGAAAAGCAAGATTCTCCGATACAGCACCACATGCAACAACCGAATCAAACTTGGTTGGGAAGTTTTGTTAGGTGTAAAAAACTTATATCTCAGCAACATCATTGACAAACATGATGAATCTGATGCAGATGTGAATGCGCAGATCGGTAAAGCAAGAACAGCATATCTACAAATGAAGAACATTTGCAACTCAAAACATCTGTCTGTCATCCAACACCAAATCCAGAATTTCCACTACAAATATGAAGACAGATCTACTGTATAGAGAGGGAACTAGGAGAACTAAGAAACGCACCATCCAGAAAATACAAGTGTTTATTAATAGCTGTCTATACAAAATACTTTGGATCCGTTGGTCAAACACTATCAACAACAATTTATTAGTTGAATTTATGACTTAATTGAAGTTAATAAAAAACTTGGAAGCACTTGATGGCTGGATTAGTTGAAGCTAGACAGTAATATCGTAGAATACCGACCGGTTCAGTGGTCTAGAGATAAAGCGTTCACACGTGAAATTGATAGATCATACGTTCAAATCTCTTGAGATGAGAATGTGGCTGAGCACTTCTGAGGAGTTCCATACCAGGACGAAATAGTCATCCAGTACTTCTAAGTTTTACGATGATAGTCTAATCCCAATTGATTTATGAATTCAACTATTAAATAAAACAATAAACAAACTCTATAGGAAAAAAGAATTCTTCAGAATTTTATGACATATCATATTCTTAATAATAATTGAAAGAAAAGGGAAGGCAATGTGAAATGAACATTTTGTTTTCCTTTATTATTTACATTACCAATTAATATTGATTCATTTTGCCAAAAAAAGTTACGTAATGATTTTTTGGAAAATAAACTACATGGGGTTTTATTGCAAATAATTGAATATCTTTCAACATCAATACTTTCATGAAGTTTACCTTCTTTTTCTTTGAAACTTGTAAACAACTTACATTCTGAAATGACGATAAAATAGAATTGGAATATATATATATATGCTTCAAAAAGATATGTCAATTCAACGATAGGCTAAATAATGAATAAGCTTTAGGAAATTAAGTCTATTAGTAGGTGAATTCTATTAGGTCAGATTAAATAAATATCAATGAAATACTAAATATTAGTTGATTACACGCAATATCTAAACCATTTTTTCTTCAATCAACCGATAATAACACATTAGAAATTTTATATTCTATGAATAACAGTTATTTAGGTATGCCTGATAATCCCAATGGAGCATAGAACGCCGACCACCATTCTCCAACCCATTCTGTCCTGAGACTTCCTTTCTAGTTCTATCCAATTGTTGATCATTCTTTTCATGACTGTTTCCATTTCTCGCCATATTGTGTTGATTGGTCTTCCTCTTTTCCTTTGACATTAAGGATTTCATGTGAGGGCTTGTCTTGTGACGCAGTTTGGTATTTTCCTCAATAAGTATCCTATCCACTTAAAGTGCTTCTTCCTGATCTCTTCCTTAGATGGAATCCAGTTTGTTCTCTCCCAAAGTAAGTTGTTGCTATTAGTGTCTGACCAACGGATCCGAAGTATTTTGTGTAGACAACTGTTAATAAACACTTGTATTTTCTAGATGATGCTTTTCGTAGTTCTCCTAGTTTTCCCTCCGTACAGTAGAATTGTCTTGATATTTGTAATGAAAATTCTGACTTTGGTGTTGACAGTTGACAGACAATTGTTTTAAGTTACAGATGTTCTTCAGTCGCAGATATGCTGTTCTTGCTTTACCGATCTGCGCATTCACATCTGCATCAGATTCATCGTGTTTATCAATGATGTTGCTGAGATATGTAGAAATGTTTACATCTTTCAAATCTTCTCCATCAAGTGTGATTCGGTTGTTGCATGTGGTGTTGTATCAGAGAATCTTGCTTTTCTCATTGTGTATGTTGACATCTACTGCTGCTGAGGCTACTGCTACACTGTTTAATTATTAGATGAAGTTTTGCATTTCTGTATGAGACGATTACATATTCTATTAATTAGTGTTTATGAACATATAATATTGTACTATTTTCATTTTATTGTTACAAAACATGGAACTATCAAAAAGGCATTTCTTCATCAAAGTACGATAATTAAATAGACTTTAATCGTATTATTCTTTTGACATTATCAGTTAAGTGTTGAAATAATTTGACGTAAACACATCATAAAGAAGTTTTCACATGGTGTACTTTACTAAATATCAATGACAGGGTCAAACATTTCCAAACTACATTATAGGAGAATTAGTTGATTTAATTTTAATTTGGGTATCCTAAAATGAAATTAATCTTTCCGTAAATTATGTTTGTACAACTATTAGAAAACATAACCAGCCATAACCTTCATTTGAATAAATTGTCTGAGTTGTTTTCATTATTGAAAATTAAATACACTTTATATGCAATTATGGATAGTGGCTAGCAATGGAATCCAGGACCCGCGTTTCTTCCTATTTGGGACTCGCCAGCTGGATGTATCTATATCACAGAGTTGATATTCACCCTGGGACTCGAACTCACTACAGTTTGCTTCAAACGCCATCGCGTTATCTACTTAACTGCTGAGTTCTGTTAGCCAGTCACCTACTTGTGCAATAAGAGTCTTATCAAACGTAGTCTTAAATAACAACAGGAAGGTACAACTAAACACCATCAAGTGAATCTATGTATATTTTGTTGCAGAATAATATTTTATCTGCATTTCGACAGTGTTATGGTATTATTTTAGGAGATTTTGTGTGTATAATCTTCAAGGTACATTTATATGAGCTAGAATATATCATGGCGTTTGACATCTAGTTTGTGTTCATTCACACAAGGAATAAGTGTTGATTAAATATTCCTCATTCTTACATGTTGATCATCTGAACTTAATGTATCGGAAGCTAACGTACACAGATCAAGTTCTCAACTATGTTATACTGCATCATACTCACGAGGCATCATATTTAGCAGCAATTTGATTTGAAGTCTCTGAATTCCATATCTCTTTGATACCCAATCGAACTTGATAAATATTAAAAGAATTCCTTTCAGATATCATATATATTTTTGATCCGCTTTCTTTTTTCAGGTACCAAATTGTGATAATTCATATCACAGCCAATTTAAAAATCGTGCCACACTGCTTCCGAGTTTCCGAAGGTGTACAAACTTTATAACATAAGGCAGTAATATTATTAATCATTATTTACTGTTATGTAAATGACAGAGTACATAAAGTTCCTTAATCACCTAACTTCTGCAACGATTTGATATATATATTTCATCAGGAATGTAAGTCATCTCAACCACATCTCGGCAAGCTCTCTGGTGTTAAACTGCATTATGTAACAAGACATCTCATAAATAATAATACACCAAATTGTAAAGTTTCCTATAACGTTTGATATAAAATGGAAATAGGTTTATCTATTCTGTAATCCTTAAAAAGTGTTTAGTAAGAACCAAACATGGTACCTTACTATAGTTTATATTTTCACTAAAAACAAAATCACTCGACTCACACTAAGCAACTCAAATAACACTATGTATGTTTTTAAAAAAAATAACTCACAAAAACAAAACAGTCGTCCAGTGCTTCTAGGTTTTCAATAGTGCTCTACTTTAGATTGACTCGCGGATTCAACTATGAAAATATCCACAAATCTCTATACTGATTCTGCAGCAATCTGAAAGACTCGTGGTCTCCCAAATTGTACGAGCATTCAATGTACCTAAATTAATGGTTGTTCCGGTTGTTAGCCATGTGACTTCCAAAGGAACTCGGCTTTCACCATGAGGCGTCATAACTCTTCTTAATGAAGACATTATAACTCCCAGGGCAGAGTTTAAATGCGTTGAATTATTTTTTCCGGTTGGTGTTTTTTCTAGTGAGTTAGTCTTCCACGGGATGGGTCGCTAACCCCACACCCAACCCTCCTCATTTATTTAGCCTTGGCATCGGCAGTATCCCCAGTAAGGCTCTAGGTGGAATTCCTATAATGATAATTCACTAATAATTTGCTATGTGAAAATATAAAGTATTTTAAGGTAACAACTATAAATATATCACATATTTTTTTCAATTTTATTCCAAGGTCACGGTAGAACACTTCAATTATTTTAGTATAAAATATGAACTAATAATGATGTTATAGAAAGTAATTCATCAAAAATCATGAAATGAATGAATAATAAAATCTAAATATCCATAGATACTTTCAGGTTTACTTTCTATTGATTAATTGATTATAGACTATTAAAAACTTTTAATTTCTATCTAATGATGTTCTGTGAAATATACATAAATGATCAGATCCAAAAACAAAAGTTATTTGTATATAATAAATCCCAGGTTTCAGGAAGAAGAGCTGGAAGTGGATAGGATACATATTGAGGAAAATACCAAACTGCATCACAAGACAAGCCCTCACATGGAATCCTGAAAGTGAAAGAAAATGTGGAAGACCAAAGAACAGATTACGGCGAGAAATGGAGACAGATATGAGAAAAATGAACAACAATTGGATAGAACTGGAAAGGAAAACCCATGACAGAATGAGTTGGAGAATGGTGGTTGGCATCCTATGCTCCACTGGGAGTAACAGGCATAATTAGGTAAGTAAGTACACCCCAGGTTACTAATGAAACATCTTAGTATCCATAAGAGAAAAAGAAATTTTGAAAACTATTTACTGCAATACTTACCTTCAAAACGAATGTAAATGTATTGTAAAATATTAATAATAGTAATAATATAAAATTATTCATCATTATAAATAGAGATATTATATTCGATTATGTTCAGTTACTATCGTGATTTACAAAAATATATTTCATTTATAATTTTTAAATACTATAAATATGTTATAATAAAGTTTTAGGCAATCATAAGGCAACTGCTAATATCATCATTTGATTGGTTACTAAGTATTATATTAACATACATATACGTATGGAGATTGAAAATAACTGGTTTTTTGTAGGTAGGGTTCTGTCTACGTTTCTATATATTTATATATTATTAGTTGTCTATTGGGCTTGGTAAAAAAAAACTACACTATATTGCGTCATTTGACCAATAATAATAAAGTCAACTATATATATCTTCAGACTGAATATGTTTAATTCATATGTTTTATGTACACCTCTGAGTTAAAATTATTAATGACAAGTCCTAAGGTCTGTTTATGTGTTTTAGGAGAGGAAACCTATTTACTTTAGCCTTTTTAAGTGAATTTCTCAGCTGTTTCCCAATTACGCATTCAATTCACCAATTATGACTTTATTTAAAAGATCGAGAAATCTACACCTAGATATTTATATATCTGAGTGAAATCTATCATTATTCTTATGTTTCTTCGCTAGTTCTACAGAGGACCTTGGCATACTTTAGTAACCTTTGTAATGCTTCTATGTCTAAAAGAAAACATTTCAATGTCCTATAACAATTAAAATAAAATAAAAGAATTGTTCTTGTAAAACAGTATTTCCAATGTTAAAGTTCAAAATTCACTAGAATAACGAGATGTATTTTAAATTTTCTTAGTGTTGTTTACTTCCCATTATTATTTAGGACTGCAATTGATCAGTCTCTTGTTGGCATATGTACATCCTGTGTGGATTACCTCGATATAGTCTTAAGTTACAAGCTTTTTAAGCAAAGATGGATAGTGACGGTCTTCAATCGATACTGGGTTCAAGTACCGAAATGAACGTCAACTCAGCGATGTAGGTACATCCAGCTGACGAGTGCGAAATAGTCGAAAGGTGCATCCTGGATTCCACAGCTAACAACTATCCATCTTTGCTTAAAATGTATTGTAAGTTTTAAAAAGTAATTTTTTGATAAAATTTAGTTACATTATTAATCCATTTTACAATTATAATCAATAAAGATAAATAAATGTAAATATTAAGTCAGTGTTCATTATTATCTCTAACTGAATTTAATGGTAAATAAAAATACTTTTTAGTGTAAACTATCATATTCGTAAACATTTTATAGCTCCACCTTAAAATAACCTATTATACTTATAGAACAAAATTGATTTCCTAAGGTAAATATTATCATGCATTCGCTTAATCTAGATTGCATATTGCAGAATTTTGAGCAATGTCAATGACCTATATATTCAAAACTCAGTCATATATATACATATATATTACACACTTAAGCCTGTTACTCCCAATGGAGGACAGTTCGCCGACTAGTTCTCGACAGAATGTGTTCATTGGTCTTCCACTTCTCCTTTGACATTAAGGATTTCATGTGAGGGCATGCCTTGTTACGCAGTTTGGTGTTTTCCTCAATATGTATCCTATCCACTTAAAGTACTTCTTCCTGATCTCTTCCTTAGATGGAATCCAGTTTGTTCTCTCCCATAGTAAGTTGTTGCTATTAGTGTCTAACCAACGGATCCGATGTATTTTGTGTAGACAACTGTTAATAAACACTTGTATTTTCTAGATGATGCGTTTCGTAGTTCTCCTAGTTCCCTCTCCATTCAGTAGAACTATCTTGATATTTGTATTGAAAATTCTGACCTTGGTGTTGACAGTTGACAGACATTTGTTTTGAGTTACAGATGTTCTTCATTTGTAGATATGCTGTTCTTGCTTTGCCGATCTGCGCATCCACATCTGCATCAGATTCGCCGTGTTTATCAATGATGCTGCTGAGATACGTAAAAATGTTTACATTTTGCAAATCTTCTCCATCAAGTGTGATTCGTTTGTTGTATGTTGTGTTGTATCGGAGAACCTTGCTTTTCGCTTTGTGCATGTTAATATCTACTGCTGCTGAGGCTACTGCTACACTGGTCGTCTTCTCCTACATTTGTTGTTGCATGTGCGACTGAAGAGCCAGATCATCTGCGAACTCCATATGTTAAGTCCTTCTTTAATGTTTATCGAATTCTTCCATTTATGTTACGATTTGGCTATAAGCCTAAGTAACTGGAATTAGATTGAATTTTGTTGAGATTTAGGATGGTAGTAGGAGGTAGTAAACAGGAATCTCTGCTTGAGCGAAATTTCATGTCAGTTGGCATTTATCAGCATGTTGGACCTCAATCCTGTTAACCTGATGTTTCCTGCCGGATTTAATATTATGTCATTTAGTTTCACAGTCAGTCACATTACTGTCACAACTTTCTGTATAGTGCCAAATAGCACGGGATCTAGGTCAGTCAATCCATTACATATTTCGGTAGCTATTAAATAAGAACACTGATAAAAAAAAATAGTGTACACAAATTCATTTACATATATTTGTTCATCAGGTTTTTGATTCTATAGAGTATGAATGTAACATGAATTTGATCACTAAACAGCGTTTCTATTTGTTAATATAAAGTTTTATTTGACATTCCTATTTAATAAGTTTTGAAATTTGTTTAACTTGAGAATAACACGAGTTTACTAACTAATCCCTTATGAATTAAAGAATATCAGATTACTATAGTTTAATGAAAAGAATGAATAAATCTTTGGTATGTCAATACACGAATGATTATTTTGACTCAACATCATACTCATTTCAAATTGAATTTAGATTTGTCTTGGAATATCTATTGTCGTGGAAGATCAGTTACATTATAATATCAATTTTTGAAGAGAAAAGAAAAAAAACAAGGAATTATTTTTGTCACATTAAATTAATTTATTCCACTAACATTTTGCTCTGAATAAATGTTGAATGGATCAATAAAATGGTAACCAATGAATTATTGAATTCACCAATATTAAAGTTTAGTCGCTCAAAATGAGAACAGTAAATGATTGATAGTCGTTATTTATATGAACCAATCAGACTTTTGACAGCAGCATATTAATCAATAACCCAATCACAACTGATGGAGAAGCTCTGAAAAATGTGGAAACATTCAAGTATCTGAGTAGCATCAACGATGAACGTGTACGATCAGATGCAGACGTAACGGTGAGGATTGGCAAACTAAGGATGGCGTATTTCTGTAAAAAAAGACAAAACTGGAAATTGAAGCTAGATTACCATGGAAAACCTGGAAGCACTGGACGGCCGTTTAAACCTAGAATGAG